GCACACCAGCCTGGGTGACAGAGCGAGACCCTGTCTCCAAAAAAAAAAAAGAAAAAAAAAAAGTAAAAGGCTATTTTATCTCCGTCATGTTATTTCAAAACTTCCACCAGAAAACTACTGGTGGATGGATGTTTCAGAGACAAAGAGTGGTTTAAGAGGCTTGCCATCATCCCCACTATTCTACTTCCAAAAAATATACATTCTAAGTAAAAAAAGTGAGCTTTCTATGTAAACTTCTCTAAAAAATAATCTAAGTAAAAACAATGTACTTACCATTTGGAAAATGCAACTTCCAAATAAATCACTTAGCCTCCTGTTCTGACCAGATTCCCAAAGCCATTACTTTTAGAATCCTGCTATCTTTTCATCATCCTTCAGAAGAATGAGGCTTTGGAATTTGGCACAAGTGTTGGCTTTACCCTATAGCATCACTTTTTTTTTCTTCGTTTCAATGGATTTTGACCTTGCTCGTGAAAGTCCACTTTATTCTGGTTGTCACCTTCCAGCTAAGTAGCCAGACTGGTAGAGCCAGGGACTGTGGAGGTGGGAATAGATCTCTGAGGAATAGAAGATGCATACCCAGGGAAGATTTGAGGAGCAGATTCTGTTGGTCAGAAATGGGTCTGGGAGCAGGGAGCCTCCTGTAAACCAGACTGAAAATCAGACATAGATTTATATTTGGACAATGGGCCTGGGCTGGGATTGTTGGTGGATGAAGAAACCAGGCTGATTAGATTGGGTGTTTGGATGGTTCTGTATTGGAAAGAAAAAACTGAAAGGTGAAGTCAGATTGTGTATTACAGAGGGTCAGATCTGATGCAGCCAGACAAGAGGATGGTCTGTCATCCACATTAATTGAATGGTGGCTCACTGCACCCCTACTTCTCCGAAGGAGCAGTAGGTGTCCCCTAACACTATAATGCTTTAAGAGATGAGTTTTTCTTCAGGTCAAGTTCACTATTGCATTAGCTAGCTTCAGGAGGCACTAATTACCATTTTGCCTGGAAAGCTCCTTTACTCTGAGAAAACATAAGACAGCTTTCAGCCAGTTTGTAACCACAATGTTTAGTTTCATAAACTTGTTTCTGTTGTTAAAGTACCTGTTACCTGTACATGTCTTATTTACCACCATTGCCTGCCCTCCATCCCTAAGTGTATTTGAATGTCACGGAACCAGAACCCAAGGAAAGTGATTTAAATGTGGCTATGAGGAACACTAGTAGCTAAGTTAATTGTGAGTCACTTTAGGATTTTTGGGATAATTCAAACAGGCAGAATTAGGAAGACAATGGCCTGGGTCAGGGTGAATTTTTACAGCTCTGTTGTTGTTGTCTGAATGATCTGTTTTGTCTCACTTCCTGAGAAATCACAATGAAATGATATCTGTGATCAGACACCATATTGTAGGGCAGGAGATGGTGAATAAGAATTGAGTGGTAAATACCTCACCTTTTTGTAGGCTGAAATTCCCTGAAGTGTTCAAAGTACTCAATAACCTTACAAATTGTAAAATCTTAGCAGGCTGTGATAAAGATGAATATTCCAAAGAACTTTAAATTAGAAAGTTTAGACGGACAAAAAGGAATAGAAATTGCAGAGAACTGCTAAAGATTTTTTGTCTAAAGATTTTTTTTTTTTTTTGGTAAATTGCAAAAAGCTTAGGACAATTTGAAAGTTTTCTTTAAAATGTTCTTAATGTTCTTTTAACATTATAGAGTCATTTTTCAAATTCAGAAAGTAGATAAGGGATCAGAATATTTTTCACTATCTGTGCAATTTAGCTAGTTCTGTCATTAGAATCACCAGCAAAGCAGTTGAATTCAACAAGAACTTTGAAAGGTAAAACCTAACCTTAGTTTCAGCTACTTTATATAGATTTTTCTATATAAAAAAGATGAAGGTTTGATTTAAAAAGATAAGTGTCCAGATTTACACTTGGAAATGCAAGTATATTGAATCTGATTTTATTTTAGAAGTTCAAAGTCCATGTTCCTCAGAAGTGGCTACTTTGTTATTGTGATGAGGCTACTATGTTTAAATATTCTTCTTAGATTTTTACCATCCAAAGGCTCGGTATATATGTAGGCTATGTATGTAGCTGAGGGAGAGTTCTCCTTTCCTCACATGCAGCATTCTAATGGAGATGCAGGGCTGTTTCCTTGTTCCTGCCTATGTGAATATTTGCTCCAATGTTTAAGGCTGCAACTCTGGAAACTGCTATAAATACATAACCTAAAAATAATAATATTGTGAGTATTTATGTATCATTTCCTTTAAGCATGTTTTTTAAAAATTTTATTCTACATGTACTAAAAAGTGACTTGCAATTTGAGTAATTTTGGTAACTGGGAAAAACTGTTGGGATGTGAGGCTTCTAAAATCAACAAGAAGGTCAAAGTGGATATGGTGACAGTTCACGGCATACTTGCTTTGAAATATCTGACTTTAATGTTTTATGATCATTTCATATGTTTAAGTGGTTTAATATTGTCACTAAAATGGCAGCTAATTAATACATTGAGGCAATGTATAAAAATGCACTGAGTGCCACAAATTCTCCCGCTGCTATATTTATTTATAGCAATGTACACTGCTTAATGTATGCTTCTATTTGGAAAGCATTTTTGTAAATGTCTGCCATTTTCACTTTCTCCTTGAGCACAGCCACAATCTTCCACTGCCACTCAGTATGAGATATCATGAAAGAAAATAATTCAGGAGTACTTCTCCATTTACCAAAAGATTTAAACTATTTTTGAAAATTACGGGTAAGATTGCTTATAGATTATATTAGGGTAGGTTCTATTGAAACAAAGCTGAGACAGGGATTTCTAAACAAGAGATTTGTTGGGAGGTGCTCTCAGGGGGAGGTCTGTGAAGGAAGCCAAATAGAAGAAGGGAAATGTGTAAGCAAGAAGGTGTCAGTGGAGACTGGCCATGGTTTGCTCCCATGAGGAAACACCGGAGTGCAAAGGTATCATAGAGTTGATCCTCTCTGGAGTCAAGTAGGCTGGCTTTCTGTACCTCCAGGTAGGTCAGTCATTGGTTATGGTTGGCCTTTGAAAGAGGATGGGAGGGCAGCCTTCTCTAAAGAGGGTGGGAGAGGCAGCTCCCACTTGGTCCAGGGCAATTCTCCAGAGAAGGAAGAGGCATCTGTGAGTTATCTGCCAAGACTCACAGCATCTCGGTGATAAGAATTCCATCTAATAAAGGCAATCTGGGTGCGGTACCAACAGCATCCATTATAGAGATGATTCACAATTTAGAGGAACAGATAACTGGTTGGACCTAGCTTCTATTGCTTCCCCCTTCCCAGGGCACACACACCCATGCATCCACATTTATAATCAAGTAAAGGTGGAAATTCAAACTTTTTTCAAGTCCTTTTGATTTAAAAAACATTTTACAAACATTAATGAAGACATGGACTTTAGTTCTATTTTTTGTTTGTTGCTTGTGGTATGGTAATGCAGAAGTTATGTGGCTAACTCTGCTATTAAAATGCATTTATGTTAACCTGAATGAAGATGGGCTCCTTGAAAGAGGACCTGAGATATTGTCCATGAAATCCTGAGGATGTTTTAAATGCCAAGTTTACTCAGGCAAATCTTTCTTCTGGCTTAATACTCCTATTTGTACTGCTTTATTTGCAGAAGCCTTTGTCTGTACATGCATAACTGATTCAGACAGGACTGAAACACTTGGTGTGTTCAACGAATTCATTTCCAATTCTCTCTGCAATAAATTGTTATGTCATACTGAAGAACTGTAGAGTATTCCTCTTCCTGGTAGAACCTCCAACCCTCTTTTTTTCCCCCTATTATGAAACAGATAGGACTTTTTTCTTTGAAAAAGAGTTTTTCTTTCTTACTATTTATCAGAATAATAATCTTGTATGAGAACATTGGAATTCCCATCAGTATCACTGATTTAAGAGGTGTTTTATTCTGTTTTAAATTGTCAAATATTTTTCAGGGGCATGGAAGATATATAAGAAATTCTTTGAATTGCACAGTTAACTTTAAAGTATAAGACCACTGATATAGTAGAAATAAGCAATGACAAGTCTCCTCTTGGATTAAGAAGTATTTGTTGCTAATAATATTCCCTCTGATTGCATTTTTATGTGATTATTCTAATTCATTAAACAGGAATAATGATATGCAAAATAAACTCAGAATATAAAAATATATTAATTAGTTTAGTGTTCAAGCTGATATTGCAAACTTTTCACTCTGCACAAGACTTTGCTAATACTCTATAAAGAATGCAAACCAGGATGGTACCTAGGAGTGTTCTGAAAGGAAAAAGGCCTTTTGGAGCATAGTAGATATGTTATTGGGAAGGTGACTTGAAGGGATCCTATTTGCAAATGATTTCTTCAGTGGTTTTAATGCCATTGGTTATCTTTTCACTATCAATATTTAGTCTTGCCTCTATGAAGCACTAAGAGGTAAAGTAATAGATAATTTTAGACTTTCTTTTGAAGTCAAACCTTAAATAATGAGAAATCATAATGAAATGATATCTGTGATCATTTCTGACTGATATCTTCCTCAGTCTGTCTTTTCCTTTACATGATTGCTCATTTAACTGTCTACATTTGTACTTTTCTCCAGTTTAGACATAGGAACCTTGTTGAATAAATAAAATTCTTTTTTAATCTGTATACATAATAATTTATTCCCCAGTGTTTATTTCATTCATTGGTCATGATTTCTAAAATATCGTTACAGGCAAGATAGAATAATTATTTTTGAAATACTATGTCTCATCAAACTTAATTGAATTATGGCTCATACTCATGGCAAGACCAAATAAAGAATTGAAGGAACCCATTGCATTAGAATTTAGAAACTTTTCTGAAACAGACATTAAATTTGGCTAATTTCAAACCTCGTTTTGCTTCATCACTATCACTTGCTAATAGCTTGAACAGTTTGAGTCCCTCAAATTTCGTGATTGCTCAGTAATATGTTGTGACATTTTTTTGCTTCCAGAAACTGCCAACTAAGTGAAGAAGACAACTGGATTTACCAGGCTATTTTGGATCAGTACCCCGGAGATCTCTTTGGAAGAAGGACTCTGTATCTGGACATGTTACAAAGATATTTTCCTCACAAATCTAGGCATGATTTGGTGAGTGCTGGGCCTACGTACATACTGGCAAATTAAATTGTTTTAGTAGTCAATAATTATTAAGCAATGTACATGTACTTTAAATGGTTCTTTAAAAATTATTTTTTCCTATACTCTAGAAAATAATAGGGTTATAAATGGTTTGAAAGCCTGTGCAGGTCATTTTTTCGAGTTTGTCCTGTCCATAACGAGGTGGAGGGCCCCCTCGGGCAGAAGTCACTCTCTGTGCCTACTTGCTGTGGAGATCTTCACTGTGATCCCAGGGCTGCTCTGCTAGTATTTCACTGCTGGGTGTCTGGTCAGCCAGATGCTCACCTTCAGGGGCTTTGCCATCTCCAGGTCTTGCCTGAAAGTGAAATGCCTGCTCCACTATTCACAGAGCCTGCTTCACCTCAGTCTTTCTAGTCACAGGGAAGCTAGCACTTGCCCTGGGGGTGGTACTTACTTATCTCTTCCCCACCACGACAACTCTGCTTGATCCTCCTAGATGGATCTGAGACACAAATACCCCAAATACAGAACTCAAAGATGTGACTGATATTTTCCTAAAAAGGAACTGGGAAATTACTGTTTTATTGTTTCATTCTTTAGTCAACAAGAACACAAGGGCAAGAAAACAGAAGTTACCCTGTCACTAATTGATTTCACAATAACTCACCTTATAACATACACATAAACAAACACGCAGACTTTTAATTTTTAAGTGAGCCATGCTATAGCATCTTAAATACTCTGTGTTTTTGTAATTGTTTTAAATTAAGCAAGTAACAACAATACTCACATGTATATAGAAGTTAACCATGTATCAATCACATGGGAACTCCTTGAATACACGTTAGAGTGGATGAGAGAAGTACTGTTCCCATCCTTAGATGGAAAAACTGAAGCAAAGGTCACACAGCTACTGTGACCATTTTTTCCCATCTTCTTTCATTCTCTTCACCTCTCTCCCTTTATTCAGTAACAGATACCTGTTATATGATAAATAATTCACTCTGAATTTTTTAATAACTTTCACTTATTAAATTAGATCTTTCCTTTTGTTGCCTATTGATTCTATTTGCTTCTGTGACAAGTTGTCATTTATAACTTGTAGATTTTTATATTTTTCTATTATTATCATGATAAAGATTTTTACATTTACTTATTTATTTATTTATTTATTTATTTATTGAGATGGAGTCTTGCTCTGTCACAAGGCTGGAGTGCAGTGGTGCGATCTTTGCTCACTGCACCCTCCCCCTCCTGGGTTCAAGTGATTCTCCTGCCTCAGCCTCCCAAGTAGCTGGGACTACAGGCACGGGCTATCAGGCCCAGCTAACTTTTGTATTTTCGGTAATGACAGGATTTTACCATGTTGACCAGGATGGTCTCAGTCTTTTGATCTCGTGATCTCCTCTCCTTGGGCTCCCAATACATTTACTTCTTACATTAGATTTATTAGCATCCATTTCTGTGTGGTATATGCTTAATGTTTTACAGATGTTAAGTATATTTTTGGCTTTATAAAACAAAGCTGAGAAGTTTACAGAACAGATCTCAGTAGCTGATACTTAGTTTAAGTGAGACCAAGTAAGTGGTTTTACTGCGTACCTAATTATACCTAAAGTATTATTTTAGGTGGGACATAAAATGTCCTGTTTGCTAGCTGCTTCTCCCACAACTCCTGGAGGTTAAATAATGTATTAAATTCAGAGTCATGGTCTATACTGGCAACATAAATAATTATTTAGATCAGTGACTCTCAACTTTGGAAGACACACCTTTTTCTGAGGAGCATTTCAGAACGACCCACAGAGGTTTTCCAGGCTACTCAGGTTCTCTCCATTCCTGTTCTTCCCTCAAGACTCTGCTAATTCCCATGGTTGAGATTCACCGCCAAAAGGAGCTACTGCTGCCGATGTGAAAATGCCATGTCCTTCATGAGCATAGCGTGGGAAGGGCTCAGTGTCATTGCTATTATTACTTTAAGTTTAGGCATCCTAACATCTGAATATTTCAGTAATTAAGGGTAAAATTGTGAGTTTTCAAGATTGTGGTAGCAATTTTTATGTTTATTAGCATTTTGTCTAACTGAAACACTTGATGTAATTGTTAAAATATCAAAACTGATATAAAGATGGGATATTTTTAAAATTAAATATAGGGAAAATATTGCTTTCTGCTCTCATAGAATCATTACCATTTAGAAACGAAAGTGGTTTTAGAGGTTACCTGGTATAACCGCATCCTATATGAGGAAACTAAGGACTTACAAACATTAAATGACTTGTCCTCAGTCACCAATTAGCCACGAGTTCAGAACTTTGGAGGTAGTACCTGGTTTCTGGTTGCTGTATTTATGATTAAATATTTGTCCCCAATTTTTCAAAATCATTGGTTATAATGGTTTTTTTTTTCATTTTTGTAACAATGACACAAAATATAAACTCATTTTCATGATAAGTATTCACCCTCTGTTATCTTTTCAGATTGAACATGAGAAATATTGTGACCAATATCGCTTTGCTATGGAGCAGCGAAAGATCTTGATATCAAATTGGAATAAAAATAAGAAAGACTTTACACAGAAGGCTGTGCTGACACTCATTGAGGCTTGTGCAGCTTATGAAATGGAAAGCACATTGGCTAAGGACAAGAAAAAGCAACAGGAATTGTGTGCTGATCTGAAAGCCAAGGTAAGATGCTGCACAGGTGTTTCAGTATTTGTCTGGATATTTAAGAATCAATTTTTCCCTTTTGTTCAAACTCACCGTAAAGTTCAGTTTCTCTTTTTTTAAAAAAAGCCTATCTTGAATAAAACTGTTAGTTTGAACTGTATAAAATTGCATTTTTAAGTCAAAAACAGTCAATAATCAATAATTTCATATGGTTCAACCAAAAAGTTACTATAACAGGATGTTAATATTGAAGTTTTGATTGAGATATCCAATACCAACCATAGACGTGCACGTCAGACTGAGGTACTAGACAAAAATGCAAGTGTAATGATAAAGTAACTGTCTAATGCTGATCCAAAGACTCTTGGACTTCTCATTCACATCAAAGATAGCAAAAAGTCCAAGTAAGGAGGAGAAGAGAGGCTTCATGATGAAATACATTGGGGCAAGCTTGCTGGGCTACGTGTGAGTCCTCAGCGAAGTGTTGGGGAATGGATGGGGTTTTCCTCCTCCTCAGACCCAGAAATGTCTAGCGGGGCTGGATTGAGGGTGGCTTGGGGAGTTGGTAGGTAACCCTTGCTGTTAGAAGGATTGAGAACTGGAATGCTCAGAGGGAAGTAGAGCCGCTGCTTCAGTGGCAGAACTGTAAGTAAGAGTGGCTGTTGTGCTGGGAACAACTGCATTCCACAGGAGGGTCACAGTGCATGAGTCCTGGAGGCCTGACGTGGATATGACCTCCCCAGGAGTGTTGGCCAGGGCCATTAAAAACAAATTGTATTGAGGTATAACATACTTGAAGTGCACAAATCTTGAGCTGATAAATGATATGGTAGAAAGATGATGGTGCAACAAAAAATTTTATTCTCCTGATAGAAAACAACTGGCAGACATTAAGCAATACCAATTAAGAGCATATAAAACAAATGTCTTTGTTTTAAAACATTAGAGGAAAAATGTTTCATCTACATATTTTTAAAACAAAAAGATATTTCTTTTGACATTGCATAAGCTTGAGACCTAAAAGGAATAGGAGCTGCATCAAGGCTGATCTGTCATGGGCTGCAGGGCTAATACATGTTTCTTCTCCATCTTCAGGCTGATAAGAAATACACAGGGGCCAGGGGCCATGACAAGTTATTGTATTCCTAGTCTATTTATAGTCATTTTGCACACATTATCACTAACTGTTGAGCTATGCTGAAATTGTTATTTTCTTTATATTGTATTGCACTGAGGTCAGTATACAAGTAGTAAAGTGCACAAGTGCACTTTAGGTCAAAAACAGTCAACAATCAATAATTTCATATGGTTCAACCAAAAAGTTACTCTAACAGGATGTTAATATTGAAGTTTTGATTGAGATATCCAATACCAACCATAGACATGCACATCAGACTGAGGTGCTAGACAAAAATGCAAGTGTAATGATAAAGTAACTGTCTAATGCTGATCCAAAGACTCTTGGATGATGCTTTATGACACACACACATCCCCATGAAAAACCACTGAGATCAAAACCTGGAATGTTTCCTGCAGCTCGGAAGACCCCTTAATGCCTCTTCTCAGTAAATACAGTCCCCACCTGTAATCACTATTCTGACTTCATGACCATCGATTAGTTTTGTCTATTCCTGAACTTCATATAAATCAAATGAGATACTACTATATATATATAATATATATATATAGTATATAGTCCTTTGTACTTCTTGCATTCATCATATCTGTTTCATCTTTGTGGCATGTTACATTGTTCTTCTTTATTGCTGTGTAGTATTTCATAGTATACGTATATATTTTCCTATTAACAGGAATTTGAGGCGTTTTCAGGTTTTTGCTATTATGATAGTGGCACTATCAACATTCTTGAACATGTCTTTTGGTGGACATATACATGCATTTCTATTGGATAGATAGTATACTTAGGAGCACAATCACTACATCATAAGGCTCAGATGTGTTTAGCTTTAGTAAATACTGCCAAATAGTTTTCCAAAGTGGTTATACAAATTTGCAACCGAATTCAATTGCTTCACATCTTCCCCAACATTGGTATTGCTAATCTTTAATTTCCTGTAATGTGGTGACTGAGTAGTGGTACCTCATTATGGTTTTTATTTGCACTTAGAATAAAGCTGTCTAAGTATCTTTTCATATGTTTATTAGCCATTTGGATATCCTCTTTTGTGAGAAGCCCACTCAAGTCTTTTGTCTATTTTTCTTTTGGGTGGTGTGCTTTTTCTTTTTCTTACTTATTTATATGTTCTTTATATATTCTGTATGCAAGAACTATTTCTTTTTATTTTCTCCCAGTCAATGACTTGTATCCTCACTCTCTTAACGGCATCTTTAAATGAACAAAACTTCTTAATTTTAATGAAGTACTTTTTTAAATTTTTAAATGTATTTGAGATATATTATATACAGTAAAATCACTATTTTTTTTTATTTTTTATTTTTTATGTTTTGAGATGGAGTCTTGCTCTGTCGCCCAGGCTGGAGTGCAGTAGTGTGATCTTGGCCCATGGCAAGCTTCGCCTCCTGGATTCACGCCATTCTCCTGCCTCAGCCTCCCAAGTAGCTGGGACTACAGGCACCTGCCACCACGCCTGGCTGATTTTTTGATATTTTTTTTTTTAGTAGAGACGGGATTTCGCTGTGTTAGCCAGGATGGTCTTGATCTCCTGACTTTAAGATCTGCCCGCCTTGGCCTCCCAAAGTGCTGGGATTACAGGCGTGAGCCACCGCGCCCAGCCAAAATCACTATTTTTAATGCATAGTTCTATGAATTTTGAAAATGCATGATGTATCACTACCACCATAATCAAGATATAGAACAGTTCCACCACCACTCAAAAATTCTTCACACCCCTTTGTAGTCAACACCTCATCTACCTCCAGCCTTTGGCAACCGCTGATCTGTTCTCTATCCTTAGAGTTTTGCCTATTCTAGAAGGTCATGTAAGTGTAACTCAACAGTATGTAGCCGTTGAGTCTGGCTTTGTTCACTTATCATAATGCATTTTAGATCCACCCATGTTGTTTGTATCAATGGTTTGTTCTTTTTTACTGCTGAGTAGTATTCCATGACATGGCTATGTTACAGTTTTTCCGTTCATCAGTTGTTTCAAGTTATTGGCGATTAATGTTACCTTGCTTATAGTGGGAGTAGACTTTAGGCTTCCTGGTGAGCCTGTGCCTCAGAGGGTGTCCCTTCTTTTTTTTTTTTTTCCTTATTTTTAAGAGACAGGGTTTCACTCTATTGCCCAGGCTGGAATGTGGCGATGCAGTCATAGCTCACTGCAGCCTAGATGTCCCAGGCTCAAGTGATCCTCCTGCCTCCATCTTCCAAATAGCTGAGACCACAGGCATACACTACCATGCCTGGCTAATTTTTCAGTTTTTCAATATTTTGTGGAGATGAGGTCTTGCTATGTTGCCCAGGTTGGTCTTGAGTTTCTGGCCTCAAGCAATCCCAAAGCCGGAGATTGCAGGTGAGCCACTGGGCCTGGCCCTGCCACACTCTTGTTCCTTCCCCTGCACTAGATTGTTACTAGACACTTGCTAGCCTGGTAGGGGAATTATTACAACATTTTAGCTGCAGTCTTCTGACTTCCATAGTGGCCTCATCTCCTCAGATGCTCTGCGGCAAGTAAGCCAGTTGTCACATCCTGGCTCTCCTTGGAGGCATCTGTCTTTCCTTAAATTTCAGACTAATTTATTGCCTTGTGGCCTCTGCTCTCTGAGGAGTTCAAGAAAAGTCCTGATGTAGGTGATTCAGCTTTTCCTTGTGGTTAAAGTGAGAACAATATTCTGTCTAACTTTCTACACCTAAATGGAAGCTCATAGCTCCTAATGAAATATAATTCATCAATATTTTTTGTCCTATTTAAGAAATCACTGGCTAATGGTAAAGGGCCATTGTCAAAGATATTCTGCCCAAGATTTTTCTGCCTAACAGGGTTCCTGCCAGAAGTAAGGGGACCCCAAAGACAGTGGGATGGAACAACAATAAATGGGAACCTGATGGATAGAAAGGAAATGGCTAGTCAAAGGTAAATGAGCATGACACACATCAGGAGCATCTTTCCTGGAAAACCCAACTAGCAATCAAGGCAACAGGACTGCTTGGAGGGCAAGGGTCGGCATGAACCTCCTGCCTAGCTTACTTAGAACAGTGTCAGTCACCCATCAACTGAGAACTTTGCTTTCCTTTTCTTTAGCCCTCCTTCTCTTTTCTCCTCCCAACTCTGTGCCCCGAAGGTTTAAGCATCTAGGGAATGAAAGAAGAAGCCATCTTCTGCATGAAGAGGGAAGTGCTAACTAATCTGTTAGAACCAGGCACTGATTTTGAACCAAGACTGTTTTGTGACTTAAAGTTACCATGGACCTCTCTGTAACTCAAGAGTGAGCCATGCATTCTGCTGAGTTTTCAACTGGTGGTTGGAGAAACATCTGAATGGAGGACAAAAACAATACCACATTTTGATGATGTCTCACACATCATGCTGTACCATATACCAAGCATACTTTACTGAGTGTCCCCTACCCACCAGGCATCCTAATAGATGCTTTCTATGCATTTCCTGATATTCTCTTCAATGACAAATCTAAGCTGAGATGTGCAGAGGTTGCTGCAGAGCATCTAGTCACTGAATCAAGGCTGCAGCTCTAAGAGACAACATAACATGTAGCCTCTTCAGAAAGGTATGGTCACATGAGGATAAACAAATATCTGAGCGTTCAGGGATGAAACCTGAAAATTGTAAATGCAGGCAGACAGTGGGGGAAATCAGAACATAAAGCACACTTAGTAAAATGGATTCTGTTTTTTCTAGAAAGGGTGTTATCATTGGAATTTGTATTCCTGATGAGGGACTGAGCTCAGTAAATTATAGCTGGGATCTGGGATCAAAACGATATCATAAAAGAAAAGAAATAAATCTATAAATTCTGCAGTCATTTAAAATGTTAAACTATGCTTATAATTTTTTTTAACCTGGAAAGAAACTTGGCAA